CTAGATTTGTGTAGTCTCGGATTCGAAATACGAATCCGATACAAACGCTGCGCAAAAACGCCAAATGCTTCCCATACGTGATTACATTTATTTTTTTAAAGACTTGTAGTAACCGAATATCCGTTGTAAAAATTAGATAACTTTTTTACCAAGTGACGAGAGGAACAAATCGCGCGCCCGGTGGTAAGCGACACTTGTCTATAACAGGGGGTCTACTTTCGATCTCCGTCCGACATCCGTCCGAAACAATTACTGCCAAATAAGCAATACTTGACCAAATGAAAAGACGCGTGATGCGAATGAATCTTCATTCTTGATACTTGTCTTTTAATTTTGTCGAATATTACTTATTTGACAGGAACTGTTTCGGACGGATGTCGGACGGAGATCGAGAGTAGACCCCCAGGTGTAGTGCTACTCAGAACTTAAAATTATAAAATAAAAATATCTGAGTGCCACTGCCAATGCACCCTTGGTGACAAGTCCCATGTGCCTGTAAATTCACCAGCTCCTTACCCGTCAAAACCGGAACGCTGTAATGCTCACATTACTGCTTGGCGGCAGAAATAGGTAAGGTGCAGTACTTCCCTGGACGAACTCTTCTTACACTCATACTTTACGTTTGACTGATAGTCAGCCGTGTTCATGGGATTTGTAAAGGGCCTGAAACGTTGGTTGACTCGAATAAAGAAATATAAGCGATTTACATGGAAAAAAATAGTTTCATTTCCTATGTGTAACTATCGCGAAAACCCAAGATATCGATATTATTTAGCAAACTCAATGATGACAGTCGCATAGACCTTTTCTGCAATAGCGTTAAGAATATAAAAATTATTGTGAGCAATAAGTTCTTTACGAGTGACTGATATGGCTTTGTTGTGTAGTCGTAGTTGCGTTAGTCTGTGTTGTTTTCTTATGTCATCTGTGGAAGCTTTTGATTGGCATATTTCAGATTCATTCATATGTCAGATTTCTTAATAAAATAAAAATAAAATATTTATTATTGCAACAAAAATGTCAATACAATACCTATTATTTTTATTTCTTTTTTTAATGATGACATCAGTCTGATGACAAATGAACACCATTCTTTCATTCATTCATTGAAACTTAGTGTTTTACGATTTAATTGTCAAAGCGACATTCAAGCTGTAAAAACCTTTATTATGTGACAATATACCCGAAAATATTGCCAAATTGAAACATTTAACGCAACTTATTAACAGCTGACCTTTCTCCAAGTTTAAAAATAAAAAAAAATTGCATCACTTCCCAAAAGGTTAATTCTCGGTTGTGACATTCGTTTAATAACACTTGTTTTTATTAATTTACACACATACATAATCACAGCGTCTGTCTTCCAGTCTGAAATAATGGATCTCCAATTGCTAGGTTCGTAAATCATGTAGTTTGCATCAATTCTTTTTAACTCGCATGTCTATTCCGAGTAATTGCGACTTAACCTTCTTTTAAACAGCCTGAGGTTGACATTATTATAAAACGAACTTTAAATTCGACTGAGCAAAAATAGCGGGCTAATTAAGATTTTTGGTAGACCCAAATGCGGCCGCAGCTTCAGAGTGACGGGCGCAGTGGTAGTGCCCCTCAAATCTTTGCATTTTAAATCTCTAAGGGTCGTATTCCAGAACTTTACTCAATGCTCAAAGCAGGACTTGAGTATGATTTCAAGCACTGGAAATACGACTCTAATAGCAAGGACTTCAGTATGATTTCTAGTACTTTAAAGCATACTCAAGTGTCGACTTGAGCATTGAGTAGAGTTCTGGAATATGACCCTTGGAGTGGTTACACGCCATGTTTGCGTGCGATGCAATTGCCTATAAATCCCAAGTGTAGCGATGCTATCGCGCGTTTGTACCGATGCAGTCGCGCGCTTGTATCGATGCAGTCGCGCGCTTGCATCGCGTTTTGCATCGCAGCTTAAAGTCGCGCGTGTGTGTAAGGATACACGCCGTGTGTAACAGCTCTAAGTGGCATTGCAACCGCCATGAACAGGTGAGTCGTCGTTTACCACCAAGCGCACTACTAGTTCGTCCTGTCATTTGGTATCATAAAAAAAAGTTATTTATTTTCTACAACGGTTATTTGGTTGCCATTACACCATAAATCTTTAAAAAAAATTATGTATACGGTAAGGTCATTAAATTACTAGTATCAGTAACACTATCATAGAAACAATTACATGATTACACCCGCCAGGCATTTCTCGAGATAGAAATAAATCACAAGTTGGCCCCGTATACCCATTAATGTGAAATAATGAGCCCCTTTAAGAAATTAACGTTCGTCGTAAATAACATTTAGTTTCACTATAACTAGGTCATTTAAATTACATATTGCATGAACTTACTTTATATTTAGACAATTTTCTTTGTGAACTTCTTTTCTTCTCGTGCAGCACAGTTGTGGAATAGATTCTTTTTCCATATACGAAGGTGGACAGCGCGCTTTCTTGCTGAACTCTCTTTGTAATCATCTTATTTTGTTTACATATATATATATATATATACATACACACATGCTCACATTACTGAAATAATATGATGTTTACGTTTTCAGTTTTTATAATAGTATTCCATTAGATTAGATATTCAAAGTTTGCATATTATAAAGTTTGAAGAAATTAACTTGAAACTAAAATGTGTACAAACACGGCACAGCTTGTGGGTACTGGGCTGGTAAACTTTTGCCTATAATAATTTGAAATAACTCGCACCCTTGGTGTAAGAAGGCCATATCTGCAAAGTGACAACGTTTCAAGAGAGACAGGAATGAAATTATTCGTTAATTTTTATGGTAGAATAGGAGCTTTATAAAATTTCCCTTACATGGTATTTGTTTCATGTAGTGAGTATTATTTTTATGACTTTCATGTGATAAAAGCACTTGTAACGTATGAATGTGGCTTTATCATGCCAAGCGTGAGTACTAAATGTTGTAAATGATAAAAATGACAACAATTATTTCGATAAAAAAAATCATAACTTTTATTTTATTTGTTATATGGAAAACTAGAAAGTTTCAACTTTTCCATATAAAATAAAATTAGTGATGATTTTTCTTTACTTAAAAAATACTTTAAATCGCTCTTCTGTAAAATGTTCTAAATATACGTTAGACGTTTTACCTTTCCTGGGTCGTATATTTACAAACAACAACCCCTAGAGTTTCTTATTCATTATTCTCAGGGGAATTAGCGCTACGAATGAGTAATAGTATTTAATCAATTAGACTAATTAATTCAAGAGTAATTGGTAATAATTGATGAATACATATTTGTTTTATCGTATTGATGGCATACACTATAATGCTTGCCATCTTGGTGAAAGGGTTTACCAATCGGCGTACTTGCCGATTGTTTCCCAGGGCGCGCCAGTCGTATTGCAAAGGAATGGTATGTCATCCGGGGAGGCTCCTTTCGTACACTCTATACCTATACCTATGAATTAAAAATATTTTTAATCTTTGTTCACGAGTTGTCTGAATTTATCCAAAACATTGAATAAAATGAACGAATGAGATATTCTTTATTGCACATTATAAGAACATCTAACAGTAATGTAAGTATCACAGCCAATATACAACAGGCGACCTTATTGCCAAGTAACAATTTCTTCCAGGCAACCTTGGGATAGAAATGTAAGAGCTGCAAGGGAAAGTGCAACCAAAGAATATCTTCTAATAGATGTGTAACTTCAACAAAGTCTTTTTCCCATTGTGGTAAAATACTACAGCCTTCGTCATTACATCATTACTACGGTCATTCCATACACCTTTAAAATATTATCAAATGAAAGAGGAGCAAAGAAAAGAGTGAATAAACAATATTTCATTCCTTATCACTCGTTTTGACCACCTCAATGTAAATGCTGCGTGGAAACGTCTCAGATCGGTTAGGAACAATTTGAGAAATTAACTTTTCCGTATTGGTTCTAGTCTGTTCTACAAAGTGCCCCGGAGTGAATCCCTTTGTTCTGGTACTCATAGTACATGGGGTTTGAGATCATGTAATTGATGTAGTTATCTGACACATTAAAAATAGCTGTTTTTCTTCCAGTCTTTAAGGTTTATTTTAATTTACGATCGTTTGTGAAATCTCTTCAAAGTCGTTTTTGGGTTCATGTCATTGGTCGACTCGAAGTTTATTCCAGACATCTATGGCTACAATTATTATTACCGATTATTATTCAACTGAAACGAAGAAACATGCTTTGGTGACTGCTTTATATCAAGAGATGAGTGCAGGTACGAGTACTTACATGAGTTCGACAATATTTTGACCCAAATACACCTGCTGTTTGTATGTACATAGACGATGCAAACATTCTTGCGTTTGAATACTTGATACCAAATCTGTAGTATATCACTTTAAAGATATCATATCTAGAATACAACTGGCTCGTAGGTTTTTTGTTAAAATCATACATCGTTTTCTTAGTGTTGTACAAATCGGTAAACTATCAAAGGAATCCAATGGAAAGTGCTTAGTGCCGCTTGTCCTATTTAGTACTTACTTGGTATTGTAATAAATATTTGCTACATATGTATCTGTTTTTGGACAAAGAAACTAGGTAACAGCCAATGAAAATTATAAGGGACAGCAGTGGTAATCCACTGCAAGAAAAAGAATCTAATTGTTTAATTATCATCACACATTGTATGTCCTCGATGTCACCACATATATAAATAGCTAAAGATATTAATAAACATATCAAGTTTCGAGATTTTCGTGATTGTTATACATAGGAAATGAATTTGTTTATTTGAATAGACCATGTTTCTGACTCTTTAAAGGTCCCATGGTCACGGCTGACTAAAACGCGATTTAGATCCGAAAAATAGTACATTTTCTATTAATAAACATAACTAGATAGAGTAATTAAGTTCACCATCTTCTACGTTGTATGCAAAGTTTCACGCCGTCACAACGTCTTTTATAAACATATCAAACTAATATTGCTTTCCTTTCTTCATAGCTCAAAATCGAGCACCACGGATAAAGGAGCATCCATCAAACACAGTATCCGGTCGCAGTGAGCCTGCTACCCTACGGTGCGTTGTCGAAGGACGACCAAAGCCGAGTGTGACGTGGTATAAAGATGGCTCCCCTTTGCCTCCAGCGGAAGATGGCCATCGGGTGCTGTTGGAAGATGGCTTGCTGTTCTTGAGGTAAGTTGTGTTACTGCAGGTTATAACTTTCCATATTGTGATACTATTCGCTTGACCGTTTAAACTAGGCCTTTCATCGCCACGTCGCTACCTAAGACATCATGTCTTATACACTTAAATCTTAGAATTTATAATATATTGATTTTTTGTTTCGTTGTCGGTCTTTATTACATTTATTTACGAACAGCACTGGATGATAACACCTTTGTTGATAAAGTAAAAATAAGGTCTAATTTAACTTGAAATCTAAGGTAAAAGCAGTATCTTTCGATCACAGAATCACAGCAAATAGTCCTCTGAATTATGTTATTCGATGTGCAAGGATTATGTTAGGTAATTTAAGTAAATTGTCATTTGAATAACCAAGTCTTCATCAAATCAAATGGAACTCCGTGAGCAATTTGACAGACAATAGCATACCCAAATGAAGTGGAAAATCACAGGCGTTATTTCCGTGACAGGGTAAATCGGGGTAAGAAAGAGAGCGACGAAGGCGTTTACTGGTGCGTGGCACGCAACCCCGCCGGCGAGGCTGTCAGTCAGAACGTTTCGCTTCATGTTGCAGGTATGATCCTCAAATCTTTGGAAGATATTGGTTTTTCCTCATACTCCTTCCAATTTATAAATGAAATCCGCTTTGATTGGAATTACGTATGTGCTTTTTAAGTTTACTGTTTCATATAATGCTAAAGTCGTTTTTACTTTTCTGTCCAGCGGAAAATCTTTTTCCTTATTGCAGGGAAAAATGTTGGTAGCAAATTTTATAACTATTTGCTTTCTTTCATGTAGGTCAAATATGTTTTACAATTAACCAACAATTTCCAGTTATCCGAGATGACTTTAGAACGGAACCTAGAGATGTGCACGTGGCTGCAGGTGACCCTGCAGTACTGGAATGTATGCCTCCCAAAGGCGTTCCTGAACCATCAGTACATTGGTTGAAAGATGGGGAGCGTTATGATTTAGAAGTTAATGGAAGGTAGAGTTACTTTAAAAACGTTATAATTACCAAAACAGTTATAAATCTAGTGGTTACTAAGATCATATTTATACTTTCAGAGTTACTGTCACAGAAACCGGAAGTTTAAAAATTCTAGAAACGTTACCAACAGACAGTGGTTTGTTCAGATGCGTGGCGTCAAACATTGCAGGTGAACGACAATCAAGAGCTGCTGCTTTAATCGTTTTAAGACGACCACACTTTGTAATTAAACCTAGCAACATTACAGCCTTGATCGGACAAACTGTGGAGTTTAATTGCCAGGTATAAAACACTTGATTGATTACAACTGCCTATGAAAACAATAAAACGAATACGAATTGAAGGGTTCATCTGTGCTTGTTTATTTTAGAGTTACGATTCGAGCGTAAAAATAACATGGGTCAAAGAAGATGGGTCGCTGCCTTCTCATGCCACTATAATCCGTGGGCTTTTACGATTAGAGCACGTGTCGGCAAGCGACGCCGGCGTCTACTCCTGTCGGGCCGATAGCCATACCGGCACCAGTATCACAAGCGCATCGCTCACTGTATACTGTACGTTACTATCTATACTTAATTTTATTACCGCAATAATATTTCTGTCCATCTATTTTAATACGAACATCTGTTTCAGCGTTACCACACTTCACACAAATACCGTCCAATTTAACCGCTTGGGAGGGCGATGTAGTGTCTATTCCTTGTGAAGCTAAGGGTTTACCAACACCAACAACGTTTTGGATCTTAGAAGGAACACAAGACTCATTGCTATTCCCAGAATGTATGAAAAGCAATTCTAGTTTATTGTATCTGGATGGTGCGAAGGCGGAACACAGCGGTAGAGTCATTTGTACGGCTGTCAACGCAGCTGGTAGTGTCATGCAAGAGGCTTATTTGAAAGTTCTGAGGAAAGGAAATAATGATTTAAAAGATTCTTTGGATCAAGATTATGGTATAAAATTAGATCGCAACTCTCACATGACTCAATACGAACTTGTTCAAGCGAGGAAATTTTTGCAGCAAAATGTACTTGTGTTGAAAAGAGTTGAAGCTTTATCGTCGACGTCGTTAAAAGTTGTATGGGATGTAAGCCTACCTATTTACTCATTCATAAGTGTTTATCTACATGTCTTATATTATGAATAACACATTTTGAGCTATATCCATTTTTCCAGGTACTAACAGACTACAATGAATATTTAGAAGGTGTAAAGATATGGTACAACGGTACGTCTTTGAATTGGCGTAATGCTAGTGACGAGATTACCATACTAAACGCGTCCCACTCCGAAGCAATGCTATGTTCTAATGGATCACTAACAGATGTGGATAATAGCGGATCGTCCAGCTATATTCTGTCTGGACTGATGGCTTATACGCAATACGATGTCTTTCTAATGCCGTTCTACAAGATATTGCTTGGGAAACCTTCTAATTTGATGACTGGATATACTAATGAGGATGGTAAGATAATATTTCTCTACTAAAGAATATTCAATATAAATTCACTTCTGAATTACGACGTACATGATTTGGTGGAATATGGGTTACAAGACTCATTTAATAGTATTCGAACACGATACAAAGCATAAAATTTCATGAATATGTGCGGTAATTTAGACCATTTCGTATTGAACATTCATTGATTCATGGCAGACACTAAAATTGTTCGTTTATTGACAATCATTATTTTAGTGCCATCGGCTCCGCCCCAAAGCGTGACGGCCGGAGTAATTAACGCCACGTCGGCCTGGATACGATGGGAACCACCACCTGCTACAACTTGGAATGGAGAACTCACTGGTTATTTGGTAACTATTGTTTCCAAACATCATATTATCCTATTAAATAGGCTAAAACGAATAATAGTTTACAATTACGATCTTTAACTTAGAAGTGCGACCACGTACTTACAGGGTATATCAGCGATTATTGCGTAATGATAAACAAACAAAAACGTATTGATGTTATTTTTACTCAAGAAGAAAGCTTCCGTCTCAGACATTGTTTGATTTAAGTCACAGCTCAAAGGCCAAAGAATGACTAACGGAAGTGACTAAATATGATAAAGACTTTCTTAGACCGGATGTTTAGTTTCATACAAAATGATGGCGATAATGTAAAACAACGAAATCACATTTTTTTACAGTATTCGTAAAGTTAACAATATAATACAAAGCATATTATCCCGTAGATTGAAATCCGAGTAAGTGGAAGCACGGGCGGTCGAGTAGTGGGCCAAATGTCTCTTGGACCAAGGACACGAGCTGCAGCAGCGAGTTCATTGCGAACTGGAGGTCGATACAGCGCACGCGCTGCCGCTGTAACCCGTCGAGGTCACGGGCCTTTCAGTGCTCCCGCGCATATTCATATGCTACCGACGCAGACGCAAAGACATTATGTGCAGTGAGTACACTTTTTTATTATTTAAATGAGCTTGATCCACTATGATTGATTTTCAAACCGTGTCTTCACAAGGTACCCATGGCAAGGAGAAGGAGCCGTCGACATTACTTTATGTCAAAAATTATTTAACCGTACAATAAGAGTGTCTACTCAAATGTAGGAAACTTGAGTACACATAATTATGATTGTGTAAATGTTTCTAAAACAATGCAAAGACGTAGTATTCCAATGAAGTTTTTGTACTAGGATTTCATAACATTGTTATACCAAATACAATGGTCCCAAATAAACCGTTGAACCTTGCATTATTTACGACAACACGTAAAACGGTTGAAAAATTCGTTGTTTTAGGACGGAGCCCCCGAAAGACACGAATATGCCTCATATATTACACGAGACATGGTTGCTAGCGCTTTGTCTGACGCTCTTCTCCATTATAGTCATTGGGGTGTTCAGTGTTTATTACATCAAGCGACGGAATGGAATACAGAGGAAGAAATCGACTGGTAATTTCCCCTTCCGTGTTTATTAGTATAATCTTTGTTTGCTAACTAAACTAAATTTGTCTTTCGTACGAAATCATGGAGCATCAAACATATACAATATCTTATCTGACCTAACAGCTGTCAGAAGGTCATGGAACACCGTTACGTCACCGACACCGAGCATTATTAATAATACAATATCATATAAATCCCATTTATATAACAAGCTCAACTAACATTCATAATTGAGACATTGAACCCAATTTTAGGTCAATCGATTGTCACGGCACAGCAGTGCTTATTGAATAAAGACACGATCTGGCTGAGGGAGCGACCCATGTTTACTGCTGATCCGACACTCGAAATGCCCAGCTGCCATCAAAGTCTTCTACACGGTAAGTTTAATATTAATTTCACGCTAGCCAAGTTATTTTCGTATTCTCATAGAATCTTTCACACTTTTGTAACGCCACGGATTGTTTCCTAGCCGGTCAATCAACCAGCATTCTCAGCGTGGAACCTGAGTACAGTCTACCGCAAAACTCCATTCAAGGTTTAGACGCGGCCAGTGTGGACAGATTGCGACGAGGCCCACCAGAACCGTACGCATCAAGTGCTATTTACACTGAACTCAACTTCAAGGTATGCACCGATAACAACCATGGGAAAGTCAAGATTAGATTACTTATTAGATTTGCTTTGCTAAGTATCACATATCCGATTCTCGAAAATGTCAATTTGCGCAAAAATCAAGCTTCATTTTCGTTGTAGGACAACAATGACATGGGCGATCTCAGAAACTGTTCGGAAAGACGATCTCATAACAATAGTATTGTAAGGTCGTGCAATGGAAGCATTCAGTATTCTAACGGAGAATGTTCCACTTGTTGCCATAGCACTTCTAGTAGATCTACTAAAGACTATAGAGAGCCAAGACATGATTTACATGAAATTAATGTGATGGAAGATGATTGCGGCTCATGCCATACGAATAGATCCGGTTCGCGAAGCAGACAGGATAAAAGCAAGGTGTGTCCAGCCAATGATTTAGAGTACGACTACCCGCAATGGCATTGGTTGGGAAGGGAGAACAGTTTCAAAATTCCCATCCCGACGAGCAGACAGTCGAATGTAGCGAGGTCGGAGCAGGGCTGTCAAATAAATCTGTGTGATATACTGCCACCACCACCGTATGAGGTAAATTGAAGTTGTATATTCGTAATTTTTACACAAAGCTCGTTGTTTTTGTCAATGAACAGTGGATTTTACAACACTGGAATATTTATTACTAATTATATGATCGCATTGTTGCAGAGTCCAGAAAACAAGAACTAGGCACATTGGATTAAAAACTACGATGTACAATTTAAAAGAACAGTAGGCACGGAACGTAAAGCAATAATCAATAATATCCTTTGAACTTGATCAATTTAACCAATTGACTTGTTTGACGGTTTTCAGTCATACATTTTCATGTAATTTTAGTAAGTACTACGAATTTGAATATTGTAATAGAATTTGTGTAAATCCTTGTAGTTGAAAACCGTTGTAGTGAATGTATTGTAACTTGTAGACACTGAACTTTTGATACTTGTATCTCTTAACTTATTCCTATCTATATTCTAGTCACCGTGTATAAGACTAGCTTCACTTTGGTACATGCGGTTTGGTTTATCTATTTTATGAGTATTTAATTCCTCAGCTATCTTTTATACATTTATCTTAACGCGAAACTCAAGGTTGTCTCAATGAACTGTTGGATATAAATTTTAATATATGTAGGCCCTGCATTTCACTGCCATTATACATTTTAGAATTTTTAGGACATTTAGTTTTGTAATCTTTGACTGTGATATTTATTATAAAATTTGTGTATTAGATAAAATGTAACCTTAGAATAACTAAATTAGGACCCCAAGTAACTTTGAATTTTAATCTCTTACGATTGAGTATATTTCCGGACCCGTTTAATTATGATTTTATATCCAAAACATGTATTTTCCGAACTGGTTGTGTCATATCCAGAAATATAGAAATAGAACACCGAAATATAGAAACTTTACAGTATTAAAGTGGTTTTATTGCTCGATGCTACATCTCGATTGTAGTGTAATGATAAAGAATGTCTATAATAGCATTCATTACACATTCAAAACGTATTCTCGATTCAAGGAAGTGCCGTACAAAAGTGTCATGATATTTTTTCTTCTATTTCGGTTTTATTGACCTGTGCTCGCGTGTCGCGAGACTTTATGGTATCAGCGATATAAACCGATGTAAAGAGTGGCGTAAATAATACACTACTTTGTAATGAAGCACGTCGTTACCTACGGCTTACAGCTCTTCGGCTAGTCATAAACTTCAACTGCGTTGTTAAACCTTGCTACTTAGCAATACTTAAATCACCAATTATAACTCGAATTGCCTGTATTTGTATTTCCGTTTACTTTATTAACAGAAGATAAATAGGAGTTTCAATCTTCATTGAAATAAACTTTAATCAATTTTCTTGGCCGGTGTTGAAAATGAAAATTTTTGATTTATTTCTTTGAGAAAAAGGGTACGAGTTAAGAGCATTTGGCAATAAATCGAAACTCCAATTTATTCCTGTCTCGCTTACGTATCGAACGCATTTATAGAATCCTTTTTCGCTTCCAAATGAGTTTTCCTTTATCAGGGGTTTTGGAGAGGAACAAAAGGCCATTTGGATCGGATTGCTTTTGCGTCATTAGTGGTAAATTTAGTACGCCTAATACTGAACCTAGTAAGTAAATAGCTTTGAGGAAAACTAATACTGCTCTACTTAACTTAGATAATGGAGCTCTGGGGTGAGATAACTTTTATGACCCACCTTAACGACATATAGATTAAGGAACTAACTAGCGTTGTTTACCTTTATTTATAGATAAGTATAAGCGAAATAATTAACAACCACGGGAACAGTAATGAAACAACAGTTTTGTTTGGGCACGATGCCAAATTCATTATACAGATTCTTAGCACTTCAACACTTTGATTTCGTGAAATATTAGTTAGTAAGTGTATTATGGTACTTGGGCAAAAAGAAGGTGAATAAAGTTGAATCATGGTTGTATAAAGAAAGAGTAATTTAACAAAAAGTTTAAAACGTTTTTCAATATGGATATAAATTTGCATACGTATTGCGAAAATATTCTAAGTTTATTTAAATATATAGAATAAATTTAAACAAAAGAACTTATGGTATGTTTTATACGACAATAAACTGGAACAATATTTTTTTTATTTTTAAGAACTAGGTGAAGGTGTATAACGAAAATAAATTGCAAAGTGAAAACAATTTCGTCGAACTAAATAGCCTATTGTGTTGTAAGAAAATGGCAAGGAGATATTTTAAAGTCAATATTGTAATAGGAACGCAGTATTGATTTAAATTTATGCAAACATCTGTTTTACATAAAGTACAGTTGTTAAAGATTCATGTATGTGTAGAAGAAAAAATAAAGAACGATTTTCGTCTACAAGTACTTAATAACATATTTAGTATGGTGCAGTAATATCCGAATACAAAAATCATCTAAGTTTTCTCCCACTCCTGGAGCTATGTTTCTGTATATAGTTACTTTGATTAGGCGTCACGGATACATCAAAACAAAGAAACAGCTTTCGTTGCTGAAACAGAGCTATTCTCCGCTCGCTTTTGGTAGATAATGGGCATAACTTTCGTTTATTTGTTACGTACTTTGCTTCAACGTCTACATACTCTGACTATAAAAGATTCCGTATTCAGGGAGATTATTCTTGTATCCAAAGTTATTAACGTTACCTAAAAATATGAGGTTAATAAACAGTCTCACATTAAAACAGTAAATTTCCAAGGAATTCTGAGAGCATCTAATTCGAATGCAATAACAGGAGCTGGCTGCACGTCTCGAGACTTTATGGGTGTCTGGATGGCCGACCGGACATAATAAAAGTGGTCAAACTTTTATGTTTCATTCATTGATCTCGTATCAAACGGACGTAAAACGTCAGCCACATCACGTAAATTTAAAGATGCATACGTTTAAGACAGTGGCATAATTGTAAGTATGTACTTTGTAAGTTTATTGATGTGACTCACTAGAGATGTAGTATTCGGTTTGTGGAGTAACATTTTTATTGTCATATCTTTGACACTCTTGGTATCTAAAACATAGATAGATTCATGTGGTAGCAGAGGAGTATCGATAGAACAATCATGAATGCAAAAAATTGTTTATAGATTCATTCTTCATATTAATAACATAATCATAGAGGAGGAACAGATAAAATAATGCTTACATTTTACATTTAATAGCAGTAGAGCTTCTTGTGAAAGAGTTATAGGGAAGTACTGACAACTTACCTATTTTTGCTGTCAAGCAGTAACGTGACCATTACTGCATTTCGGTTTTGAATGATAAGGGTGCTGGTGATATTACTGGTACCTGCATGGAACTAGTGCTCCTCAGGTCTTTGCGATTTAATGCTTTTAGTGGCACTGCAAGAGGCGTGTCACTTACCATCACAAAAAAAGAAAAAAATGGCGAGCTAAGAATTTCTGTTCCGGCTTTGAAGGGTAAGGATGCTGGTGAAATTGCAGGCACATGGAACTTGTCAACTTATGTCTCAGGGTTCATAGCAGTCAGCCTGTCCATAATAGTTGCAGTATCGCTCACACTGAGACATAAGTTGACAAACCCCATGTGCCTGGAATTTCACCAGCCCTACCCTTCCAAACCGGAATGCAGTAATGTTCACTTTACTGGTTGGCGGCAGAAATGGGTAAGATGGCATTACCTTCCCCAGACGAACACTTTCACAAGGAGCTCTACTGCTACTTGTAATATACTGACATATAGCATGTTGTGGTAAATGCAAGTTTTATTTTAAGTTATTTATAACATTTTGTAACGTTTGTTAGCAATCCAAATAAATATAAAATAGCGTAGATGACGATTCTTAAAATAATTAATCATCCCTGAGTTTTATACCTTCATTGGACAATGTAAAATAAAGAGGTTTGATTCGAAACCTGGGATTCGAAGAACTCATAACTTATTAATATCGAGGTATACACAAAATGTTAAACACAGGAAGTCGAGATCTGAAAATTAATCTGTAAGTATAATTTATGTAAATAATCATCGGCTCCCGGTCCATTTCCATAGCGAAGCGTAAGAGAACATTTATCATGAGACGGTGATCGAAAATAAGCCCAGTTTGCAAATTCCAAGACATCTTGCCCCGGCCCACTTACCTACATCTCATTTGAATATATTTGGATGCATAAAATGGCTGCCTCAACATATTTTCCATGTTTACGAGCAAACTTAGAGTAACCAAGTTATTGAGTTTTGGGATAGACGATGTCCGTTCCAAACAAGTACACTTTCAGAAACGGAAACTAGGCTTGTAAATCAATCTGAACTTCTTCTATGGAACTTTCTAGAGATTGGTCAAATTTTGGAGCAACTTGTGTGCCTTAACGTTGCCCATTTTTCAAAAACACGCGGAGATGAAAGAAGTAAGGTAGCGCGTACTTTATGAACACATACGGATATTTAATGCGAACTACTTTATCGTATTCCCCTACCCGCACTAATCCATTAGACCGACATGAAAAGTTAATATCTGAAGGCCAATAAAAATCGCCGATCAGGTACCGCACTAGCCTGCGTCTTGGGGTGGAACCCTAAGCTGTTACTACTTCATAACATGTCGTATTTTTAAACTCACTGCAGTTGAAATCGATTCAATTTCACAAGAATTTTCTTATAACTCGGAATGAAATATGAGATTAAGTAAATAAAGCACACAATGTAGATATTTGAAGCAGTGATTAACGCAATGTATGTGCAATAGTTAACAAAACGTGTGTTGCGCGTTCAATAGTCTTCGGGTAAGTAACTTAAAATATTATGTATTTATTTCATTCAAATGGCAAATGAAGCCGTGGTTACCTCATGGTAACCGAATGGTTTTTCATACCACTTCTCAAACTGAGGGTGTGGGTTCAAATTCGGGATCGCAACTCTGAATTTTTAGGATTTATATGCGAAAATTTAATTTTAAATTTAACATGAACATTTCGATGAAGGAAAACATCATGAGAAAATTTGCACACAAGCAATTTAATGATGTGTGTGAAGTTCCCAATCCGCATTGAGACCCCATTGGAACAACAGCCTAAACCCTCCCTTTGTGAGAGGAGACCTGTGCTCAGCAGTGGTACTATATATATATAGCCTAACTATTCTAACATAAAACTACTCGTAGTTTTAGATACTTGGAGATGTTTACTTACAAAGTTTACATTTTGGAGAGTTTAACCGGCGCTCTGTCCAGGTATGCATACCGCATACCTACCTATTCAAATTCTCACATGCAACAAACATAAGTACAGTAATACCAACTTACGCATGCAGTTGACGACGATGTTTTTATCAAACTTTGCTACTATTGGTTACGAACAAAACGATAATGCCAAATTTTCTCGCTTGATGAAATAAGTTAGTGGCATTACGGCTATTTGTGACACAGAAACGGCGCGCTGTCACGATATCGCGAGCGACAATGTAAAAAGTAACGAGGAAGTGTACTGCGAAATGACAACGATTTGGTTGACATTTTCGTATATCAGACCTCGTGGCGTCATATTTGCTTGGAGCGACGTATCGAGTCGAAGGGTAAAACTTCATAAGGGCAGACGAGAAAAATTATAAGAATGTTTAGTAAAGAGTGTAACCTAATTGTAATAAAATACAGAGGAAACTAAATGAGACCACAAACTGCTGTAAATATTACCAATTTAAGTCTATTGTACATAAATTTAGAATAAAGCAAAAAAAAAAGAGTAAACTTAAATTCTTCTCGTGTACAAATTCTTTCCTTAAACTGGCATCGAACATTCTAACCTAATTCGAAGACTTAGACAACCTTACCGCGACTTAACTTCGGAAATTTATTCGACACAAAGAATCGTAGTCCAAATTTAATTGTTCTTGACGTAAGTCATAAATCTCGGGAAATCCAGGCGGAAGCAATTTACATAAACGCCTCGTTCCCGACTTCATGCCTTGC